ACACACATAAAGGTGGAATAACTGAGAGTATCTACAGGAAGCCTCTTTCTGATTAATAACAGCAACAAAATATTCATGAGAACTTCCTTTATTTTAATTAAAATTTCATTAAACCTTTGTTTAAGATAGAAGTTTTCAAGTATTTCTCTGATCTTTCTCATAATTTCTGTGTCCATTTTATTAATTTGTTGAGGCAAACATGAAGTATTAGGTCACTGCATGCTATTAGAATTCTCTAACTAGCATACATATGTTATCAGACTTTGGGCCACCAACCCCTAAATAATGACACAGAGACCTATTTTAATTATAAATTCTTGACCTTAGCTTAGGTTTGTTTCCAACTAGCTCTTACAACTTAAATTAACCCATTTCTATTTTTCTAAGTTCTGTCACATGGCGCTTTATCCACAATCTACAATGTATGCTTGTCTCCCTCGACATCTTACTGGTGAAATCTGCCTCTCTTCTTGCCAGAGTCCTTTATATGTTTAGAAGTCCTGTCTAACCTTTCCTGCCTAGCTTTTGGTGATTCAGCTCTTTATTAAATCAATCAGATGCCTTAGGGAGGCACGGTAAATTAGCAACACATCTTCACACACTGTGGTAAAATATGTGACAGAATTCACATGCTTCTTCTTTAAATCCTGTACTTCACTGTTTGCTATTCACTTATATGTAAAGTTTTTCTTTTTTTGTTTCTTTTTTTTTTTTACATAGCTTTGAATATATATGTGAACTCTTCCCTTGAAGCTTGCTTGGCCTTACATTCTTAGTAGATTCTTCATTTTGTGTCTTTAAACCTGCTACACACAGGTGTACAAATATTTCATAAATATTTTTTAACTATGTTGTTTTAGTGTAAAAACCCACTTTCCCGAAAGATTCTTTAGCTTATCACAAAATGATAGATAGACCAGTTTTCAGTACAAATATGCATTATGCATTATTGCCTTTTCTCTCAAGGTTTTAGAAGGCTTTTATAGAAAAACTATAATTCAAGAGACAACATAAACTTAGTTGTATTATTTCAGACAGTTTGGATTTGAGTTGCATTTTAAAAAGTAGTTTTTATCCCAACTATATTGAATCCAGAGATACAATGGCACATCTGTAGTATCATATCATATGCTATTTAAATATTTAAATGTTCACTCTCTCTTTGGCATTTGATACCAAATCAAATCAAATGCTTCTCTGTTTTGATTTGTTACTTAGTAAGAAAATATTGAGAAACTTGACATGTTGCAACATTAAATTAAAGTTCTGTTTTGAGATGTTAACCCCTAAACCTCTGTATCTCAGGTGTTCTCAAGCTGAGTGAGGAACCATCAATATATGGACTAGTTGGAGAGGTTATTTGCAGAACAAAAATTGAAGTGTATACTTTACCTCTACATTCCATTTTGTCTGCTTCATTCCTGTGAGACTTGCCTTCCAAACTCACTGTGGAGTATATTACTTCAAACTCAGAGTTAAAGCAACACCTTGCTTGAATCCTTAGAGAATGAATGGGAGTTGTCCACTCCTTCATCTTGGAATCTTGACTCAGATGTAGATAGACCTAAACATTTTCAGTAATGTCAATGTTCATAAATAAGATATTATTAAATATATGTTGTGTAATATAATATCTATAATTTTACTCAAGAAATCTTTAAATATACTTATGTTTGCTGACTATATAGAAAGGATATTCATATATGACTGATGTCATTAAAATAGTCTAACCCAAGACTTTCATTGTCCATTTTTGAACAAAATAACAAACATTTCCATAACCTTCAAACAAAGACAGGTTTAATGCTTCCAATAGATTTCTTCTAACAAAACATGATCCTTTCCTGCTAAAATCATCATCATCAACAACAAAAACAAACAAAACTTTTCAACACAATACTCCTATCCTCCTAGAGAGTCACAAATACATTTATCTTCCCTTTTTATACTTCTTTCTGTTTTCACACTTGAAGTTGTGTGTCTTCCTCACTACATGCTGCATGAATATGTCTGCATACACTGTTTCATAATATATTGGAAGGTCCTGAATTTAAGACATTTATATAATCTATCACCAGCCTCAGAGACCAAAAAAGGATAGTTCTGATCTTGTTTACCAAATAACTGAACAGACTACATGAGGTAGAATCTTTCATCTAAAATGTTGCTTCTTTAAGAAAACAATCTATGCATTCCTAGGCACAATAAAGTAAAAACAGACAACTTCAGAAAATGAAAATACAAGGAAAATATATCTTATGGACATTATGTTTATACTAAAAGAGATTGTGACAAATAACTCAGCTTTTAGAGATCTTGTCTCAAAGATAACATTTTGAGCTTCCACATGCTTGGTTCTTCTCAGCCTCTAGCTACCAAGAATGTTTTGAACTGATTTGCCAAACATAAGTTCTTTGCAATTAATAGCTATCAATTATCTGAATTATATTTTAGATTATATTATTTATGTTTATCTATCTATTTACTATTCTGTGTGTACATGCATACATGTTTATGTATGTATATAAGTGCATTTCTGAGTATGTGTAAGAGTGCGTGAATGTTTAAGTGTATGTGTGCACATGAGTATGACATTGTGAATACATGGTAGAAGAAAAGAAGTAGGCCTCAGTTCTTGTCTTCCACTCTGTGAGACCCAGGGACATAATTGAGTGCATCAGGCTTGGTGGCTAGGGTATTTACCCACACCGAGCCATATAGTGTGCCTAAATATTGGTTTTAAAGAAATATATGAATAAACTGGATGTGAAGTTGATACGAGTGGTAATCTCATCACCTACTTTAGAAGATGAAAATGGTTTCCATCCTAAAGGAAGCTATGATAGACTAACTCAATTTTTTTTCTGTTCTGAAAGTATAATTTCATCAAACTGAAAAGGCTTTTATAAGTAATGAAAAAAGAAATTTATAGTGTATCAATTAAGCTTATATAATAATGAAGAAATAAAAACCTTTGATTGTGCGGATCTCAGTCTCTGGCCCTCCCTCCTTTCTCCTCTCTCTCTCTCTCTCTCTTTCTCTCTCTTTCTCTTTCTCTCTCACACACACACACACATGTTTTGTCACAACAAAAAAATCATCTGGCTAGCAAATGGCCAGTTTCTCTCTGCTTTTGTTTTATTATCATAGATGCTATATTTTCTCATGGAAAGTAATCTAGACCTTCCTGTGGGATGAGAAGCTAGGTGAATACCTGCTGGCAAACATGATGACCAGGACCTGTACTCTGGATGACTGAACACATTTCACACCTATCACTATGCTGGTATAGGTTCTGTTTTAGGGAAAGTTTTTTAAGGAAGTCAGGTAAAATAATAATATCTCATTTAGGATGACAAGCCCAAATTTATAACCTGTCTTTCTGCACAGGCTTAATGAAGAGGGAAAAAAAGCAGAAAACGAAGTGTCATTAAAATAAATTGTTTTTGCTGTTATTGATGTTTTTATTTTATATAATGCTCTTTGCTTTAAAAAGAGGATCTGGAACTCAATGTTAGCAGTGACTACATAAAAAGTTTGAAATTTAAAGCTACATGGGGACATCTTTTACAAAAGTAAATTCAAAAGATGGCATTGTGGTTGATTGCATTGATCAACAATCACAGTTTCATCTTTTTCAGTTGAATGACCCAGGCGTGCAGAGAGCAATTTGCAAGTAGCCTAATATGATCACAGGCAAATGTCAAAGTGCATTCAGAGATTCCCTTGGTTACAAAAACATTTATTACAAGGGCCAAACATCCTTTTATTTAGTTTGTACTGAATCCTTGTCCTGTAGTTTTTAGTACAGAAAAGGTACAAGAAAAGTTAATGTTCCAAAAGGCATTTAAATTACGCAAAGCAAGAGTGTGCAAAGTTAGACAGCAGAAAACAAACAGAATTGCAGACTGCATGCCAGTAGCCAGAAAAAACTTAGGATTTGAGCCTTTCAAGAAATTGAAACCACAATGCCCAGGTTTAAGGTCTAGATATCGATATCTGACAATGAAGTCTTTTTTGGCAGAGAAGAAAAGTCTTGGAAAAATTAACATGAAGTAAAATAATAGCAAATAAGGAGGTACAAAAATTATCAGAAGTTCAAAGAGACTGGATTACTAGCACAGAATTGAAGTTTACACATTATATATTTATTATTACACATACATATTTATTACACATTACACATTATTACACATATATAATCACATATTTTATTACACATTATTAATAATATTACATATATTACACATTATATATTTATTATTTTGATTTCACAATCCTCCATCCTTAGTCACTTTAAATCCAGGCAGTGTGTAGGGAAATGGAAGTTAAAACATCAGGACTGACTGAACTGGGTGGAGAGCAAGGCTGCTCCAGTGAATGAGAAATCAAGGGCTCAGAGACTGTATGGCAAGTCTTTGCTCCTCTTGTGGAACTGCTGCTTGTGTTGTGTAAGTCGGAAAAGGAGGCCATTAGATAAACGGGAAAAACGAAAAGCAACCAACACCACACTGATCTGTTCAACTCTCATCTCTGTGACCCAACACCAAGTTACCAGTTTAAATCGAACACCCAACAGAGGCAAAGAAAGCGTATTCCATTGTGCTGCGATCCCGTCGCAGTATTCACTACGTTCTAGAATTCCACGTTGCTTGGAAATCACACACCTCGGAAGTTTAGCCTAAAAGAGCACAACAGGCGAGTACATTTTCTGCAAGTAAAAGAAAGTAAAAGTAGGGCAGTCTGAGGAGAATGAAAGGACAAGACTATCAAGCAAGAAAACTGTAAGTTTTGATTATTTTTGTGACTGCATTCGTGTGCTTCAAGAGCTTAATTGCTAAAGGCTTCCTAGACAGGCTAAGGCAGGAAGGGGGCGGCCAGGGTGAGGGGTGCTTGAAAAAAAAGAATTCTCAAAACTCAAGTCTTTCTCTCCTCTCTCTCTCTCTCTCTCCTTTCAGATTCAAATATTTTGGGGCAGGGAGGAATGTAGGGGAGCTAGAGCCCCTCCCACTTTTAACCGTCTTTTTTTATTTCGCTGCAAAGGAATCCATCTGCCCAGATCAGTCAGTCAGGAGGTGCAGGAGGATTCGCAGATGTGGGTGTGTGGGTCCGCAGGTGGCTAAGCGACTCTCTCTTGGCAAAAACAACCAACAGTCTATCCCGCCTTTCAAGAAGTCCTGAAGTGTCAATAGCTTCTCCCGCCGGCTGCTTTCAATGGTCACCCGCTGGGATGCGCGTCACCCTCTAGAGCTCATTTCTGAGCCGGCATCCGCGCGCCCTCTCTCTGTCATCAACGCTGGCTCTCTAGCCCTCTCCTGGCACGCGCGCTTCCGTTGGCTTCAGACCTGGTACCCGAGGCTACAGTGCAAAGGAGATTGTGTGTGTGTGTGTGGCGGGAGTGGGGACGAAACACCCCCGACAGACGGACGGTAGCTCTTCTAGACCCCGCAGGGAGTGGGACCCTGGCATGCAAGGCCTCACAGAATCCTCTCGCCCTGCGGAGTCCTCTGTGATTGGAGGAAGAGCGGTGGCTGTTGGCTGAGCAGGTGCGGATCTCCTGCCTCCATGTCTGCCTGGCTCTCTTAGCTGCCAGTACTGCGCCGTTCCCCCAACCCCCACCCCAACCCCCACGCCAAGCCGCATCCTTTCGGATGCAAATGCCGTGTTTTCAGGGCGCTGACGCGGCTGGTAGAGTAGCGAGGCACTAGGTGAGTGTGTGTGCCCGCCATGGGGCTGGGAAGGTCTCCCAGCAGAAGCGCGCCTTTGCAGCGCACCGCGGGGAGCAGGACAGATCTGTGAACAGAGAGCGGGCGGGGGTATCCGTGCGGAGTTTCCCGCGGCGTTTCCAAGTTATTGAGCGCTGTCGTGAGACGTGCTTCTGCCTGGTAGGACAGGCGTGAGGACTGAGCTCACAGGCGCTTGGCCGGAAAAGCAGTGTTGACAGATACCAGGTGCAACGCGAGGGAAGTAGGGTGAGAGCGAATCCCCCAAAACACTCCAGATGCAGAGGTAATCAGCCGCCTTCTGCGCCGCTGTCCTCAAAAAGGTACCTAGCAGACACCATGGACTGATGCTGGCGCAACTCCGGGCAGCCTGTGCAGCCGCCAGCTTCTGCAGAGGTCTGAGCCTGGAAGGAGGTGTGTGCCTGTGAGAGCAGGAGTCTTTTAAACTGTGTGCCCTAGACCCCTTTGGCCTTATGTGAATGTGGAGCTCGCCTAAGGTTTCTTCCGCTCCTTAACCCGCCCCCTTTAATTAGTATTCCGCTGATCGGGTGCATCTGCAGGGTTTGCCTCCGGCTCCTCTGGTTGTACCTTAGGTGTGAGAAGGGAAAAGGACGCCCTGCTTCTCTGGAAAGCATGCTGGATTTGGATTTCTTCGTGGGTTCACTTGGCACAAGGCTAGTTGCTCGTTATCTGCCTTCTATCTTGGATTAACACAAAAGGACCTTTGCTTTGAATGCCTTCATGTTTTAGATCCTTAACCCTTCGGATTTAGATGTCATAGTTCAGGTGAGTAAAGATTATCAAATAAGTTAACCCAGCATTGGGGAAATCATTAGGTTTTGAAAAAAGCTGGAGCATCTCAAGACTGGAGAGCTGCATACTAAATCATGAATATTTGTAAAACACTTTTTACTTTGCAAGAAAAAATTTTGTCCTTTTCAGGTCATGTGCTAAATTCAGTATCTATAAAAGTAAGGCTTGCCCTTCACCGTAGGATGTCTGCCAACTCAGTTTTTTTTTTGTTGTTGTTGTTCACAGGCAAGTGGACAGAACTTTATACTTTATATCTGAGTCCATAAAGAGAGTAAAATTTAATATCACTATATTGACATTGCGATTGACAATATACATTGTTAAAGGCAAATTGTTAACACAAAAATGTGTATTGTAAAGAGGTTTGATGAAGGAAAGTTTGTGCTGATGCACTGTCAGCAACATCAAAGTAGTTTTTCGTCTTTATAAGGGGAAGTTGTTAAGGACTGAAGGGCTAAGAGAGGAAGCAATTATATTTGTAGTTCTCAGAAATCCACAACAATAGCTTCTTTTCCAAAAACTAGTTAGACACTGTGTTGACCCAAATGTTTTTCTTGTTATTTCTCATGAAAAAGAAATGCAATAAAACTGTTTTTCTTCATTCTTGGGGGGTATTTTGAAAACCAGAACATAAAATACTAAAGTACGGGTGCTAGTTAGGTCACAACTCAATGGAAATCTTTCTTGTTTGCTTCCTAGTGGTCAGTGACTATCAGGGAGCATTGATGCAACATCAGTTTTAATTGTTTTGTCTGAGAAAGGTTGCTGAAAATATGTGTGTGTAAAGAAAAATAAAGCAGTAGCACAGCCCATCCTCCTTGAGGGTTTGCAGTGAAAGGCCATGTGGACTTGTGAGATCTTATTGTAGTTAAGGACTGTGATAGGTTATAAGAATTTTGCTAGCTATCAGTTGACACAAGTCTTCCTAAATCTGTTTTTATTTATTTAATAGCAACGAACTGTTCCTTTTTTGGAAAAGGGTACTTGTAAGGCATCTATATTCCTGTGACTCCTTGAATTTACTCTCGATTTTAGTGTACAAAGGACAAGGAAGAGACGAGAGCACATTTTTTTTTTTCCACTATTCAGTCTTCTTTGGTCTGGAAAATCAAACTAAAGTCTCCTCTCAGACATAATTTTCCTACCAGCAATCCTATTATTCAGTATTTTAACTTCTAAATGACAACACTGGTCTGAAGTTCTCAAACTGTATGTAGGTAACACAAGGTCAATGCATCTGTGTTTCAAGTTCAATACATTATTAGATATTTCAGAAATGTGCTATAAAGTAATAAATTCACAACTTGTTTCCTGTTGGACATATTTATTGCTGAGTGATTTCAATTTTCCTGAAGTTTACACGGTTTACATTAATTTCACTAACAGCTCTCGTTGCATCACAGTGCTCTCTCTCTCCTGATTGAAAAAGAAAAAAAAATGTTCTTATTTGCTTGGAAGGTTTTAAAGTAAGATCTTAAATTGGGAGTTTCACAAACTTCTAGAATAACCAGTATACATGTGTTAAAAAAAAGGACTACTGTGCAAGTGTTCCTACCTTGAGTAAAGGAGTCTGGTTCTCCTTCCTGAGCTGAGGAAAAGCTACCAAGCCATGAAACAGAGCCCTGTGTGACCATCTCCCTTGCCTCTAACAAGCAGCAAAGATCTAACTGTGACCAACAGTGCAACAGTGCCTCCTCTGGGAATTTGTTGGTTCTACAGATACGCCCCTCTGATCACTGTCCCTCCCCCACCTTGTCACTCTGCAGGCAGGCTTCTTCAGTGACAAAGTTTCCAGAGCAATTGGAAATGCAAATGTCTGCCTGTACATTTATTTCTTATTATAGTATAGACTTTTCATTAATATAGACTTTGCTTCCTGCTCTTTTGTAACTGTTCACTGAAACTTGAAGCCTTTCATGGAAATAATGGAAATCACACATGGCATAAGGTAAATCCAAGTGCAAATTAAAATTTAAAATTGGAAAAGCCATGATTTCTTATAAGAAAAAAATATAAAGAGGTAACTATGTGAATACAATGCGAGTACATTTAGTTATTACATAAATAACACAGAACATCTGTGTTTTGTTACTATACTTTTGAATTTATATAGGCTTCTCTCCTCTTTCAATATAAACTATGTATCTTTCTCTGGTTTATTTCTTTCTTTTATAGTAGTGGTTGTCTGTGCTTCAGTTAAATAGGCTCTATAATTCACTTAGGGAAGGTTTTCCCCCCATGCTTGATAAACAGATGCACACTACAGTCTCTTATTCATTTCCAGGGCCCCTGCTTGTATACTTAGGCTAGTAATCAGTAGGAGATTGTGTGGTCTGTGGTTATAATGTTGTGTGGCCTAGGGAGCTAATGGGTTTCATCATGGTTTCATTACAGAGAAACCTCATATCACAGCAAATTCCAAGACTTACTAATTGAAATAAAATATGTATATATATTCATATATGTGAAATAATTATATACATATATACATATATATATAAATTTATAATACAATGAGGTGGAATTTCACCAAAATTAAAGTCACAAAATATTATGAAAACACTTTAAACAGTATAAAGATTCAGCTACTGCCCAGTGAGATAGTAAAAATGAAATTTTGAACTATAATAATAGCAGACATCTTTAAGTGGTAGGATTGATAGTAACAACCCATAATGTACAGCTGTTATGTTTGCAATTTTGACAAATTGGTCCTATTTATTTATTTTATATTCTAAAATACTTTTCTAAATTGAAGCCTTATATCTAAAATTCCCAGTAGAATATTGTTCAGTTCTTCAATGGAAACGGTTAACTTTTTAGTGTGTTAACTCGCTTTTTGATTGTCAAGGTATTTTAGTTGAAAGAAGGTAATCTTAATTTGGATACAACGCTTTGTTTATTTTTTAATATAGTAAATTTGTTAGAAAAGGGGTCCTTTAACCCCCTGCCTTTATCCTGTCATCCCTGTCCTTCTGAATAATAATCAAAATGATTTTCTACCTTAAAAATTCCAAGTTTTTTAAAAAAGTTAAATATTATTGCACATCCTTTACTCATCAGGAAGATGGGAAATCCAAAGAATAAACATATCAAAGGGACTGACTACCTAAATAAAACTTAGCAAATATTAAAAACACTGCCATCATTTCTTTGAGCTCACTACTATCAGTAAGAGTTTTGTGACCTTGGATATTTCATGAGGTTTCTGTAGAATTCATTTCTGTGGCTTATGTTACTTATCTGTGGTTTTATCAACACCTTCCAGTATCAGGAGCAGAATATTTATGAATTCTTCATGTTTTTCTCTAACATGAACTCTCAAGAAAACCAAAGTACTGCATTCCTAACACAGAAGCGACATTTTCTTTGACTATTTCACAGAAATTGCCCTTACTAGCTTGCTTGTAATGACATAGTCGGAAATGAAATGTGACAAATACTCTGAGAGGTTTCTTGCCTCAGTCTTTTCTCAAATGCAGAATTCTTGTGCTCAGTCACAAATTGAAAGATATTACAATGTATCTTTTTAAAGAATGTATTAAATGATTCTATTCTATAAATAAATAAAAGCAACAATGAGGATGTAATATACATTATGCCAAGCCGATGACTCTAACTTTGTGGACCTAGATAAATAACAGGAAGGTCCTCATTGGTGACAGGTTCTTGCTATTCTGGGGAAGAAAGGGTTCATGAAGCTCTTAAAAGGATATATATATATATATATATATATATATATATGCATATTTACATTTATTCTTTATATATACATATGTATATGGAAATTCTTCCTTGAAATTATGTTAAGCCATTTTCTTCTAGGGATCATGTGCAGAGCAACAAACTGTCTCCATTCCAGACTGAGCTAAAGAACAAGAAGTGGAAAACTGCTCTAATGCAATCCTGATTCTGTAGAATACCTTCTAACTACTTTGTTCTTACATTTCCGCTTTTAAACAAACGTGTTGTTTGTCTTTCATAAGGAGTCATTAAAAATGTACTGAAAG